TGCATATTATGTCACTGGAAGCCAATTATTTTAGTAATTTTTTTTTATCTTCCACATATTAATTAACAATATTAAAGTCGAAACAAAGCTGCAGGAATTGTACAGCAATTTATTAAAAGCATTTAAATTATTTCTCCTGTAAGGATCATATTGAATTACATAAATAGAGTTCTTAACAACAAAGAACACGATTTTGTTGGAAAATAGAATCACAAGATAGAAAGATCGATTTTGTTATATTTATCAGTTTGTAAGAATCTTCTAAAGATTACATTGTTGTATCATTATTGATATGGTGCTATAATCAATAGAAATAGATTTAAGAAAATATTTAAATAAAATTTGGTGAACTATGAAAACAAATTTGAGGTAATAACAGTATACAAGAGAAATGTATGAAATATGTTCATATGTAACTTCTATAGATATAACAAAAGTAACTACATGATTTTTTATGATTAGTACATAAATAACAGAAATATGTAATTATATTGTTGAAGCATCTTGTTAACTTATGTTTTGACAACACCAACGAACAAACCAACTCGATGTTTATATTTTTAAGGACTGATTCTCAAGGATGGATACATGAACTAATTGAAATCTATGAATACCAAGGCACCACTTGAGTGTTATAATTTGTTCCTTGGCTTTATCAAGAGACAAGTATTGAATGATTGCTTTATTGGTATAATTCGAAAATTCCAAAATACAATCAAATTTTGTGTAATATAAATAATGTTATTATAAATACTTTCTTATGTTCTCAATTTGTTTCATTGAATAGAGCAGCACTGTCAATAAGATTCAAAAAATGTTTCTTTAGATATTCCTTACCATGTTTATGCATAAAATTATTGAAATCAGTCTATTTGATGTAATCACGTATTAGTAGAGCTGTGATTATGTATGTTTACACTAACTTGTGGAATGAGAGGGGATGCGAGTGGTTTAGGTGTAGAAGATTCAGGAATTGGAATTGAAACTGCAGGAGGAACTGGAGAGTGTTTCTTAGCTCGATCTTGTTGCCATGGCTTTGCATGATCTTTACTTAGCCTTTCACTTAAGGCTTTTAATGCTATTTGCCTGAAACAGTCAACACAGTGGGAAGTGTAAAAAAAATAATAGTAGAAAAAAAAGTTTCATAATATGTAACAGGTATATGATATAAAAATATGCAACAAACCTTCTCCTATCGCTGTCATGTGGATCAATACCAGGGAGATTTATAACCAATCCAGGGGGAGCATTGGACATGTCGAATCTTCTAACTACTTTTCTACATAATCCAATGCGTACGAAAAATCCATGTATAGTATTACTTACAAGTGCTATTGGTGGTTGTAATACATTGGGGAAGAAGCTATAAGAAAGATTATTGTTATAGAACAAATAAAGACGTAAACTGATTCAAAATACGTAGAGATATAATTTACCTTGCAAATGCAAAATTATCTGCCATATCACCGCGTGTACCATTATTATGTTTTTGATAAAATCTAAGGTATATCCATGATATTAATAAACCACTGAGGAACATAGTTGGATTAGTGCCTTCTAATAATCCAAACAGCCACAATGATACTCCTAGAAACCATACCATTAATGGTATGTTTCTATTTGTAATTTTTCCAATCGGTGTTTTAACTAAAATATGATCTGGCATTATTTGTTTCACAGCTACTGCAACTCCTAAAATAAAATATAAATAATGATATTACTTAACTGAGTAATTTGAGTAACTTAAATATAATGATGTACACATAGATCTGTGAATAGTACATGTTAGCATAAAAAATGAGAAAGTATATATTGAATAACAACACAAAACCATCAATAAAAACTGTCAATTTATAAAAACCATACCTGCAATATATCCAGTTAATCCATGAATGTGTATACCAAATAGTAAATCCGGATCGCTGGTACACATATACAAAAATAAATAAAATAAAGCTGACAGCACAGCGACGCCAAAATTAACTACCGCGAAGAAAGTCATCATTTCCATTGCGCCCCATAGTGGTTCGATCAATTTGCCACAAAGTCCTACTGTGACAATATCCACGCATAATTCCCAAAAATGTATCTCAAGGAAACAAAAAGTGAACGCTGTCCAGATCCAAAAGGCTGGAGGCAGTAAGTAACCTGGTGTCACACTCAGAAGACGTATCGCTTCCGACGAAAAAGAGAGACAATAGGAAAACAAGACTACAATGCATATAAATTTCACACTGGTACTGGTATTTCCTAAAAGGGCAGCGAATTGTTGCCTCAGATAGGGAATATTTCTACCCAGGCCCTTTATCGCTGCCATTTCTACCGAGCAGCCCCCTTAACCTCTTTGGAGAACCACTTGCGTTGGTTGCGACTTGACGTTTGCTACAGGTTTATCAAATCCACGTTCACGCTTTGTTCCATAGATTTGCCAATATGGTGTGAGTTATGACTTACTTGATTCAAAAATATAAATCGCACATATTTTCGAACATGATAAATGTAAATACATAAACCGAATGTACCTGCAATACCTTGAAAAAGGTACTTGTCATTGTAAGTATTGTGTATATCCATGTAGCGAATCGTTCATTATTGTGATACTAAAATCTAATTAATGAATTGAAAGTGATTGATCAGTTATATTTAATTGAATAATCAACACTTAAATATATTAATGGATATTTTGAAATACCATCGCGTATTTTTGTAAATACTCGCTCGAAGTTACCTTCTAACATGTGTTGGTAACAGTGTTTTGTTTTTCGTCGATCAGTTATTAATGTTCGACATTTTTTTAATTTTTTGGTGAATTGTTGAAAATTGGAACAGCCATTAATTCATGTTATCCTTGAAGTGAAATTATCGAAACGGTTAGATGCTAAATCATTTTTGGATATGCGAAATTTTTTATTCAGCGTAACTATGCGCTGAACATTTATAATCTCGCACTCGAAGCGGCAAATGGAACGAACCTCAATTATAAGGAAATATTTTATCATCGTGCATTGTGGATATTAATTCAGATTAAAATCTCTGTAGTATGCATTGTTCAGTACCCTAAGAAGGAACTTTTTCGAGTGATAAATGCCTGGAGTTTGTCCGCGCTGTAATCGCGAGGTTTACTTCGCAGAAGAAAAATTAGCTCTTGGCAAAGTTTGGCACACGTTCTGCTTTTCTTGTCGTTAGTATTGCTTTCTTGATAAATGCCATTTGACTGATTCATACTCTTTGAATGTTTCTCCCTATTTGATTCGTATTCACGGATGATAAACTTTTGCAACTCCCTAGGTAACTGTCGAAAACTACTCAATAGCTGTAACGTGGTGACGCATCTTGATGAATTATTCTGCAAGAGTTGTTACGTTCGTCAATCCCATTCAGCAAATGATTATAAAACTATATCGAAAATTCGTTCACCTACAAACTCAATTAAAAATTCATTGAATCGTTCTTGCGGAATTGAAAGTTCGATCGGTAATACCACATTCGGCAGAAAACGACATTACCAATCCGACGCGCTCAGACTTCGCGGTGGAGGCAGTGAAGGTGGAGAGGCATACGTGTGTTTTGATGAAGAGAAAAAGCATTTCTTAGAAAACGAATGTGCTAATTTGAGTATTACCAACTCGATGTCAACGCTCTGTGATCCTCCACCTAGTCCTACTGCTATAACTACATGGTACAATCGGCAGCATTCGAAATTTCGCAGGTTCAAACTTATTATTTCTACGAAAACCGTCCTACGAAAATGTTGTCATTGAATGCAGATTTCTGGACGACTTTATTCCCCATTTTCCTCTGCCTAATATTTCTACCTTCCGTCGTTAATTATTTTGTAAATATTCGTATGTTATTCAGTTCTGGATTAGTCAATTTGTATTTTCATTCTACAGGTGTTCCAGTTACAGTTCGATTCAAATAGTAGCTCTAGATTAAATAGTACCTTTTCCGTGGTTATGTTTGAAATTCACCGATATTAATCCTGCTTTCATTTGAACAGTACGTCTTTGGAGTCGCAGAAGAATAATATCACGAAAGATTGTCGATTCGATGCTCACCAAGACATCGATCTATCTGAGTTAAATCCGCTACTTTGTAATAATGAAATCGACATTGCAGAGACTCAGCTAAGGTATGGAACATTTCTTGAATCTTTTCGCATTCAACATTAGGGTATAAGCTAAACCGATAAAGTCAAATCATTCTCGGGCCAATATTTAACCTTTTAGGTACGGCGGAATTCTGCGCGATGCTATTTCTCTGGACGGCAGAGTCTGATACTGTATATTCTGTCTGTATATGTATACAGGGTGTCCCAAAAATGTCTCGCAATCCGAAAGTGGCGGGTTCCTCAGGCGATTTGAAGCAACTTTTTCCTTTACAAAAATTTTCTCCGAGGCACCGTTAACAAGTTATTAACGAAAAACAGTGACCAATGAGAGGCGAGCTCGGCTGGCGCGAGGCGATCGAGCCAATGAGCGGAACTGGGCTTCGCGCGCTGGTTGGCTGGGCCGCCTCGCGTCAGCCGTACTCGATTCTTATTGGTCACTGTTTTTCGTTAATAACTCGTTAACGGTGCCTCGGAGACCATTTTTGTAAAGAAAGAAGTTGCTTCAATTGATCCGAGGAACCCGCCATTTCCGGATTGCGAGACATTTTTGGGACGCCCTATAGACTGTTGTAAATCGATGTGAAGACAAAAGAAGTGTGAAACAATGCATATGAAGACGATT